TAAAGTAACGGATATAGGCGATAAAATCATAATAAACGGTTTATGGAAAAATCCCTGAAACGGGTCTAAAGATTTAAATTTTTTGGTGTAGATTCAAAATTTTTTCCGCCATTTTTAAACGAGTTATGGCGTCATCGATATTTTTTTTAAATGGGAATCCCCCACTTTTATTTCGGAATATGAAAGAGGATTTTTTTCTGAATCTAGTACAGTCAATATTAATATTGGTTAAATAAGAAAATTTTCGAGAAAAATTACTTTAAAGTTTAATTACTTCAAATTTGTATAATGATAAAAATAGCAGTAGCCATGAGTAACTATGGTAACCAATTATTCTAAACAATTCACTGAGTGTCGAAAACTGATTTAGTAAAGCTTCTTGAAGTGTGGTGGCGCGCCATCTTGTTGGAATTGAGTTGTGTTAACATTAACGGGATGGAAGGAATGACATCGCTTTGAAGAAATTTAAACATCTCTTTCCACTTAAGGTTTCCTCAAATCTTTTGCGGATATTGGGTGTGCGACTTTCTTGGCTAATTTGCCGATATACACCAAGTTCCATATCTCCATTTGTCGTCCTGGTGATCAACACATCTAAGAAAGGTAGTTTTTTGGCAGTTTCTGTTTCCATGGTAAACTTAATCATCGGATGTTGAGCGTTCAAGTGATCCAAGAACTCTTGGAGCCGTTTTTTACCATGTTGCAATATTACAAACGTGTCATCCACATATCGGAGCCATAGTTTTGGTTTCCACTGGCTCTTCTTCAAAGCGTCTTCTTCGAATAATTCCATGTAGAAATTAGCTATAACTGGCGATAATGGAGATCCCATGGCTGCCCCTTCGAACTGCTCGTAAAATTCNATAATAAACGGTTTATGGAAAAATCCCTGAAACGGGTCTAAAGATTTAAATTTTTTGGTGTAGATTTCAAATTTTTTCCGCCATTTTTAAACGAGTTACGGCGTCATCGATATTTTTTTTAAATGGCAATCCCCCATTTTTATTGCGGAATATGAAAGATGATTTTTTTCTGAATCTAGTACAGTCAATATTAATATTGGTTACATAAGAAAATTTTCGAGAAAAATTACTTTAAAGTTTAATTACTTCAAATTTCAATAATGATAAAAATAGCAGTATCCATGAGTAACTATGGTAACCAATTATTCTAAACAATTCCCAGAGTGTCGAAAACTGATTTAGTAAAGCTTCTATAGAAGTGTGGTGGCGTGCCATCTTGTTGGAATAACTGTCGTTGGAATTGAGTTGTGTCAACATTAACGAGATGGAAGGAATGACATCGCTTTGAAGAAATTTAAACATATCTTTCCACTTAAGGTTTCCTCAAATCTTTTGGTTTTGGATATTGGGTGTGCGACTTTCTTGGCTAATTTGCCGATATACACCAAGTTGCATATCTTCATTTGTCGTCCTGGTGATCAACACATCTAAGAAAGGTAGTTTTTTGGCAGTTTCTATTTCCATGGTAAACTTAATCATCGGATGTTGAGCGTTCAAGTGATCCAAGAACTCTTGGAGCCGTTTTTTACCATGTTGCTATATTACAAGCATGTCATCCACATATCGAAGCCATAGTTTTGGTTTCCACTGGCTCTTCTTCAAAGCGTCTTCTTCGAATAATTCCATGTAGAAATTAGCTATAACTGGCGATAATGGAAATCCCATGGCTGTTCCTTCGAACTGCTCGTAAAATTCTCCCTTTAAGCTGAAATACGTCGATGATTGACCCGAAACATTCTAGTTCTAGGTCTAGTGTTAGTTCTAGTTTTAATTGTTATGTAACGCTACACCAAAAACTAGAATCATTCGGGTTTAGCCGTCTTTAGAGACGTACGGCTCAACCCAAATGATTCTAGGTATAGTGTTAGTTCTACATAGTAACAGTGCCAGTGTAAAACTAGAATTAACACTACAACTGAAAATACCACGCCTAGTCAGCTGTTATTAGTCTTCTATGCGTTTGCTGTGTATTTTTAAAGGTTATATCGTAAACGTATTCATATTAACTTCAAAACTAAATCATAATGTCTACTATATAACCTCTAAAAACACAGCAAACGCATACAACTCAATGACAGTTCACTGGGCGTGGCAAATAGTGTGACGTAGAGTGCGGGCAACCAACCCTTAGTGGGCTACAAAACAATGGATGTAGGAGTCCTGTTAGATTCTACTGTCCTTAAATAATAACATAGAAATGTCATTTCTATTCTTCCAATGACGTCACAGCAAGGCCTTTGCGGGGCGATACGTTCATAACGAGTTGGATAATCTTATACAGTATGTTTAGTCAGTGGACCTTGGATCAATATGGTGTTTGTGGTAAAGGGTTACAAAAGTAACATATAAAATGACTAAACGGTACTTTATTTTTTTTCATCTTTAATTATTATTACAAATGTAAATATATACACTTAGAGTGTATAATAAAATACACGTCATATTTTCGTAATTGATCTTAAAAACAGGATTTTTAAAATGACACTTCAGAAAATTTTTGAATACAAACAAATGTTGCTATGTTTATTGGAATTAAAAAAAAAACATATGAGCGCCATCTATCGATGATTTATTAAGTCATTTAAAAATAACATTAAATCGTAATAAAAAATGACAAATAATGCAATCTATTCCAACTTTTGTGTAAAACATATATAAATTAAACAGTTCAACAAATATATTTGTTTCAAATATCAGAAATATGTTTTTTTTAATTTTTCGTTATAGAACCATAATTTACAGGAAACTGTAAATTTAATTTCTTTGACGACACTAAAAAAAAGTTTATTTTTAGTTTTATTCTAAAACAATAAGAAATAAACCTGTCAAACACTATATTTTTGTAATCAGAAAAAAATAACGAATTTATTAAGCAAATAATCAGTGGTTGTTTCCATTTAAAAAAAACGAGAATTGTGATAATATCTCAAAATCTAAAACCGACAACATTTTTTTGACTACGTCATCAAATTCTCTCTAAAAAAGTGTCCATATAATGTTTTAGTTATAATACTCACCTATAATAATAGCCAAGATAATTACATTTGCGGGTTTTACGATATTTTCAATTTTGGCCTCTAGCGGAAAAACAAAAGACGATAGCGCTATGAGGTTTTCGGCATTAGCAGTTTCTCGAAAAACGAGATCATGACATGTCAATTGCTTTTCTTCTAACTCTTATAGTTTTCGAGTTAGGCTATTCGGACATCGAATTTGAACCACCCTGTACTTATAACTTAATGACAGTTAACTAGGCGTGGCAAATAGTGTGACGTAGAGTGCGGGCAACCAACCCGTAGTGGGCTACAAAACAATGGATGTAGGAGTCCTGTTAGATTCTACTGTCCTTAAATAATAACATAGAAATGTCATTTCTATTCTTCCAATGACGTCACAGCAAGGCCTTTGCGGGGCGATACGTTCATAACGAGTTGGATAATCTTATACAGTATGTTTAGTCAGTGGACCTTGGATCAATATGGTGTTTGTGGTAAAGGGTTACAAAAGTAACATATAAAATGACTGAACGGTACTTTATTTTTTTTCATCTTTAATTATTATTACAAATGTAAATATATACACTTAGAGTGTTTCAAAAAATTAAAATGAGATGCCAGAAACTGACTCCAATGAAATTATTTTGGTTTTCAAGACACCAAGGAAAACCAAATACGACAAAAAAAAATTAAAAGCAAAAAAGAATAATTATGCAACAATTTATGCTCTCATCTCATCACATTGTCAGTTCCATGATGGCATTGACTATATCATTTTGGTTATTCTTCAGCGCTTTAACAGCCTTTGGACAACTGACATTCGCCTGCGTCATTACCAGCTCAATGTCCTTATCCTCAACGTCGGTATCATCCACTTCTTCATCAGATTCTTCTGTTATAGGTGGTACAGATGTTGTGGCGTTACTTGCTGCTCCTTCAGCTGCCGCTTCCTTGAATTTCTCAGCAGTGCTTCACCAAAAATAATATAGTAACATAGTAACATACTAACTACATAGTAACAGTGCTAGTGTAAAACTAGAATTAACACTAGAACTGAAAATACCACGCCTAGTCAGCTGTTATTAGTCTTCTATGCGTTTGTTGTGTATTTTTAAAGGTTATATCGTAAACGTATTCATATTAACTTCAAAACTAAATCATAATGTCTATATAACCTCTAAAAACACAGCAAACGCATAGAACTCAATGACAGTTCACTGGGCGTGGCAAATAGTGTGACGTAGAGTGCGGGCAACCAATCCGTAGTGGGCTACAAAAATATAATGGATGTAGCAGTCCTGTTAAGCGGCCCTTACACGATAAATAGTATTGACAATACAACCATCAATCCTCGTAACCAGTTTCAATACATCACTACCTTACAGTTTGCTCAATAAGTTACCTTGCCGGTTTTTCCCTTTCAAATATGGATATTCGTACAAAAGCTTGCGTAGCTATTATTGTGGCGCTTGGAACTACTTGTCGAGTGAAACGTAAAAATTGGATGAAAGAATAAAGATGAAGAAGAGAGATGAATTTTCTCATCTAGTATTCTTGAAAGAAATCAGAAAGTACCTTTAAAAAACTGTTACAGATGGTTGATGGCAATATGAGAGAAAGTATAGGTGTTAGGGAAAGATTAGCCTTAACCCTGAGGAACTTGGCCACAGGAAGAAATTTTGAATACTTAAAGTTTTCTGTCATAAAGTCCCCAGCAACTATATATCAGCAAAGCTGTAATAGAGACCTGTGAAACCTTTATATATGTCCTACAAGACTACATGGAGATAGTTCGTATTGCTCGATGAAATTACGAAGAACATCTTGTTCATCATTACGGGAACTGGATGATCCAACAGTATCTCCATCGTGTTGAACGTCAACAACGTCAGGTAATGGGTCGGTCATTTTCACCACTTCTTCAACTGAGTGTAATGTAGAAAATACGAATTAAACCTGTTTTTAAATCATCTGGGTTAAAATAACATATTATGTTTTTTCAATATATTGATAGATATGTTTTGTTACTGTTACAATTAAATAAAAGTATTTAATTTTGAATGTTGAGTTTATTACACTGAGTATTGATGGAAATATTTGGCACCAACCTTTCACGGTCAATAGTATTGTTGAAATCTCCTCCAATTTTCAGTATTGATGCCCGAAAATCAGAAAATCCGGATTTTTATCCATACTCCATCAATATTTGAAGGGGTTGGGAGAAAAAAGTGCCAAGCATCATGTTTGTTGTTTTGAGATATAGCAAGTTGAAAGTTTGACTAAATCCATAAATAACATTTTAGTGCAGACAACAAACCAAAGTTTTTTAATACAAAGGTCATGTATCTATATACCGTTAAAAGTGAAGATGCAGGTAAAAAAACGCTATTATAAGATAAAAATGGTTGTATAGAAAAATATGCACTGAATAATGTTGCTTGGCATTTTTTCCCCAAAAATCGACAAAAAATACTCTTAACCAAAAAGGTACTTTCCAAATAGGCCTATATTACCACATCTTCCTTTTGGTCGTCTACTTCAGCAGAAGACTGTAGGCCATTGTAATATCCATGGTAGATGGGAGGAATGTATTGCGTCAAGGATTTGACATCATCTAATTTTTTCTTATTGATTTTGTTGGGCGCATTTCTTTTTAAATGTAGTGCTGGAATAGAACTCCTTCCACGTTTCTTTAGGTTCAACACTAAAAACTCTTCGTTCATCAAGCGTTTGAGTTTCATTTGAAAAGGTTCTTCGCTGTCAAATTTAAAGCAAATAGTTTTGGAAAATCGTGGAGGAGTAACACCATCTGTACAAAACTTGCTTTTTGTGTTAAAGTAGGTCTCTTGCACCCTAGACAAATCGAGGAAATCCTCGCTCATCATGCATGTTACGATGAACTTGTGTTTTGTTCCACACTTTGCTACTATCTCTCTCCATTGCCCAGGACTGTACACATTTTGGCAGTGCTTGGTATGATACTTTTCTATTTTTGAAAAGTCACGGTCTGATGGAAGTTAAGTATGCCCAGTTATCAGGAAGTAATGTTCTATTGTTTCAAAACGTTTACTAGCTACAAGGTGTGACCAAAGCGACATTATGTTCCAATTTTTATTTTGTCCTCCGCAGTTGTCGGTAAATATTACCAACTTCTTTGCGTGGACATTTGCTACTAATAAGTACTTTACAATACAGCTTCCTATTTCATCACTACCCCTTTTTCCAACTGATTCATCCCACATGAACATAAAACCTTGTCCAGAAGTGCAGTTATGGATACCTACGTTATAGGTCCACAGTTTCCTGCAGTAAAATGCAGGTCCACATGACAGTTTTGGTGTAGGGAGGGTTTGTTGCTAAATAATTGGGATCGCTGTCACTGTCATCAAATTCTTCATACAAGTCTTCTAGGTTTTCATAATAATCTTTAAGATTTCTAACACATTTCCTCTTTCCCTCCATTTCTCATGAGGAGCTTGACACTGTCTTCCCCAAAACTTTGCAAACAACCAGTTGAGGTAATAAAATGCAATGCAAATACAGAGCAATCTAACGGCAATCATTGAAATCTAAACAGTGCTGCTTGTAATTTGTTCAATTTACTCATAGACAGCACTGCTAAATTCGGTTAGGCCAAAATGATGCTTGGCACTTTTTTCTCCCGACCCCTTCTATTGGTATAAGTCTAGATTCTGCTGAAGACTGCAAACTACAAAAATTATACAAAATCCGCAAAAAAAATAGNTCTTCGTTCATCAAGTGTTTGAGTTTCATTTGAAAAGGTTCTTCGCTGTCAAATTTAAAGCAAATAGCTTTGGAAAATCGTGGAGGAGTAACACCATCTGTACAAAACTTGCTTTTTGTGTTAAAGTAGGTCTCTTGCACCCTAGACAAATCGAGGAAATCCTCACTCATCATGCATGTTACAATGAAGTTCAGTGTTTTGTTCCACACTTTGCTACTATCTCTCTCCATTGCCCAGGACTGTACACATTTTGGCAGTGCTTGGTATGATACTTTTCTATTTTTGAAAAAAAGTCACGGTCTGATGGAAGATAAGTATGCCCAGTTATCAGGAAGTAATGTTCTATTGTTTCAAAACGTTTACTAGCTACAAGGTGTGACCAAAGCGACATTATGTTCCAATTTTTATTTTGTCCTCCGCAGTTGTCGGTAAATATTACCAACTTCTTTGCGTGGACATTTGCTACTAATAAGTACTTTACAATACAGCTTCCTATTTCATCACTACCCCTTTTTCCAACTGATTCATCCCACATGAACATAAAACCTTGTCCAGAAGTGCAGTTATGGATACCTACGTTATAGGTCCACAGTTTCCTGCAGTAAAATGCAGGTCCACATGACAGTTTTGGTGTAGGGAGGGTTTGTTGCTAAATAATTGGGATCGCTGTCACTGTCATCAAATTCTTCATACAAGTCTTCTAGGTTTTCATAATAATCTTTAAGATTTCTAACACATTTCCTCTTTCCCTCCATTTCTCATGAGGAGCTTGACACTGTCTTCCCCAAAACTTTGCAAACAACCAGTTGAGGTAATAAAATGCAATGCAAATACAGAGCAATCTAACGGCAATCATTGAAATCTAAACAGTGCTGCTTGTAGTTTGTTCAATTTACTCATAGACAGCACTGCTAAATTCGGTTAGGCCAAAATGATGCTTGGCACTTTTTTCTCCCGACCCCTTCATTTACGGTCAATAAAATTTTTCACTTTATACAGTCAACATAATTGATACTTAATATTGACCTATAACTAATGAGGTGTCGAATTGACTTTGATCAGGATCATATTTATGAATTACCTCTTTAGAAATGATTGAATTAATTTTATCACGGGTACTCAAAACAAATTACAATTTCATCCTTTTTTTATTAATAAATTTTTTAACAAATAGTAAAAAATATAACAACACAATACATATAATCATTATGTTATATGAGTGTTCTTCAATGTTGGAATAAATCTCTTTAAATCTAAAATCCTATTCTCTTTACGCAGAAAGAGACGGTTTTAGAACAATTAAGTAAAGAAAAAAAAATAATTGAAACTAATATAATTTTATTTAATACGAGAAAAAAAAATTACATATAAAATAATATAAAAATTCGCAAAAGCTTAAAAAATAAAATTGTTAATAATACTTATAACAAAGAAAATATAATAATAATATATCAACAACCCAAGCAATAAAATAGATAATATAGAAAGTAAGTTACCAGTTATAAAAAGTTTTAATTTCAAATGGAGATTAATTTCGTTATGTAACTGCCGTAAAAACAAGAAGTAATAAATATCACATGTTAAAAAAATGTTATTCAAGAACGGCTCACAGCGACTTTTTATTTCTTTTGATTTTATTACTCGTTTATTTAATGATTTTTTTAGTTTGTAACGACTGGCAAATAAAATTTATGAGATTTTGTATCTCTTGTGTGTTTAAACGGCCCTTTCGGAGTTTCAACCAAAGCAGCTGGACACGGACCAATATTTCTTGGAGAATATTCTTTTTTATAAGAAGTAACAGTCGTTACGTTACTATCCCCAAGCGTTATATGAGACGTATTTGACCTTCTTGTAACACGTTCGATTTTTTCGATATTTTGTTGTTTACTAAAGTTTCCGTATGATTTAGCTTCTGATTGACCATAAAAGTTACCACCAACCGTTAAATTATCTCTTCTGATTATCTTTTGAGGACGTTCTATAACTTGGTACGAATTTGAAGACCAATTTTGACCTCTTCTACTAACGTTTTCTTGAGCCTCCCGATGCATCGAACTTAAACTCTTTCTATCTGAAGTTGTTGAAAGCTGTTGGTCATGAATGTGACAAATTGATTTTCTCAAATCTAAAGCTGAACTACTTGTAGCGTGTAAAGCTTCTGAAGAAGTGTGAGTACCTTTTCGGTGAAGTATTTGATTATTAACATCCGCTGACGATGTTAAAATACTCTTTCTATGGTGACCTTCAGATTGCACAATGTTCTTGTTGACTTGAGTATGACTGGAAGAGTGTTGAATGTTATTTGTTTCTTGATGCATATTTCTAATGATGTTTTCTTGATGTATTCTTGATTGCGAGGAAGATTTATGGATATGAGGACCAGCTGTAGTTGTGGTAATTTGTTTGGTAACTTTGACAATGGTACCATCACCGAGGGTTTTTGTATCAGAAGCCACGTCAGTTTTAGACATTTTGTCTGTTTTCATTTCACTTTTTATAGTTTTCATGGATTTAATGTTTTCTGATTTAGTAATATTAGTATCAACAACGTCGACGTGTTTCTTTTCAGATCTTCTTGTATAAGTGTTGTAATTAACTTGGTTTGTTGTTTGCATTGTTGATTGGTCGCTGCCTAAAGCAATGCTAGATTCCATGTGTCTACGTTTATTCACTATTGTTTTTCCAGCTGGACTAGTAACTGGTGAGCCCTTTTCAGGACTTTTTTCAAAGGTTTGTTTAGTTGTGGTAACACATTCCATGGTTCCTTCACCAATTTTCAAAGAATCTTCGTGTTTCTTAACGATAGCTCTTTCTCCTTTAACAACTGTGTATTCACTTCTCGTACTAGTTTTATCTTGGAACTCTCCAGTAACCTTTAGATTATCAATGGGTTTCCTAACTGGAGCCCTATCACCCATTGTAGGTTTATAATCATCTTTACTTTTAGGTGTACCAATAAACTCCCCTTCGGGTTTTAAGTTATCAGGGTGTTTAACAATTTCAGCTCGTTCTCCAGGACCGTATGGTGCATGTTTTTTAGGTGTTTCAAATTCTCCTTCTGGTTTCAAATTATCTTGTGGCTTCTTTTGTTTAGGTCTTTCCCCTGGTTGATATCTCTGTTTCTCTGGTCTATCAAAATCGCCCTCAGGTCTCAAATTATCTCCGTGTCTAATTGGAGTACGACGTTCACCGGGACCAATTTTTGATGGGGAAGGTCTCTCAAAATCACCTTCAGGACGCAGATTATCTTCCGGTTTCTTTTGTTTCGGTCTTTCAGTCGGTTGGAACTTGGGTTTCTCTGGTCTTTCAAAATCTCCTTCTGGTTTAAGATTGTCTTCATGTTTAATAGGAGTTCTTCTTTCGCCGGGGCCAATATGCGTTGGAATTGGTCGTTCGAAATCGCCTTCTAACTTTAGATTATCAACATGTTTCACAACTTCAGTTTTTTCAGTACGTCTCGTAATGTATTCATCGCGTTTCCGGTACTCATTAAATTCCCCTTCCATTTTTAAATTATCCTCTCGAACTATAATTTGAGCTCTATCTCCTTTGACGACTTGATACTCATCTCGTGTTCTATTATCGGTGAAGTCCCCTTCAGGTTTCAAATTATCTTTTGGCTTTTTAACTTCATATCGGTCTCCACGAACAACTTTAAAATCATCTCTTGATCTTACATCAGTAAATTCTCCTTCTATTTTCAAATTATCTTCACGTCTAACCACTTCTACTTTATCAACTACAGTTTTCTTGGTGTAATCATCTCTTCTTCTGATATCCCACTCTCCTTCCATTCTTAAGTTGTCTTCTCGTCTAACAACATCTACACGTTCTCCCTTTACAATGTTATAATCGTCTTTGCGACGTATCTCCATCGTTCCCTCAGGTTTCAAGTTATCGTCGTGTTTTACTGGAGATCTTCTTTCAGCAGGACCAACTTTTGTTGGTGATGGCCTTTCGAAATCACCTTCAGGACGAAGATTGTCTTGGGGTCTCTTTTGTTTTGGCCTTTCCGCTGGAGTAAATCCTGGTCTATCCGGAATTTCAAAATCGCCTTCCGGATGAAGGTTATCCTCAGGTCTCTTTTGTTTTGGTCTTTCTGCTGGTTGATACTTTGTTTTTTCGGGTCTTTCAAAGTCGCCTTCCGGTTTAAGATTATCACCGTGTTTGATGGGTGATCTACGTTCAGCTGGCCCAACTTTTGTTGGCGATGGTCTTTCAAAGTCACCTTCGGGATGTAAATTATCTTCAGGTCTCCTTTGTCTGGGTCTCTCGGCAGGGATGAAACCTGGTTTATCAGGGACCTCAAAATCTCCTTCTGGACGAAGATTATCTTCAGGCCTTTTTTGCTTTGGCCGTTCAGCTGGTTGATATCTTGGTTTTTCGGGCCGTTCAAAATCGCCCTCTGGCTTAAGATTATCTCCATGTTTAATTGGTGTTCTTCGCTCAGCTGGCCCAACTTTAGATGGTGAAGGTCTTTCGAAATCACCTTCTGGGCGAAGATTATCTTCAGGTCTTTTTTGTTTTGGCCTTTCAGCTGGTTGGTATCCTGGTTTCTCCGGTCTTTCAAAATCACCTTCTGGTTTCAGGTTATCACCATGTTTAATTGGTGTTCTTCGTTCCGCTGGCCCAACTTTAGATGGTGAAGGTCTTTCGAAATCACCTTCTGGGCGAAGATTATCTTCAGGTCTTTTTTGTTTTGGCCTTTCAGCTGGTTGGTATCCTGGTTTCTCCGGTCTTTCAAAATCACCTTCTGGTTTCAGGTTATCACCATGTTTAATTGGTGTTCTTCGTTCCGCTGGCCCAACTTTAGATGGTGATGGTCTTTCGAAATCACCTTCTGGGCGAAGATTATCTTCCGGTCTCTTTTGTTTTGGTCTTTCTGCAGGGACAAAACCTGGTTTATCAGGGACTTCAAAGACTCCTTCTGGACGAAGATTATCCTCAGGCCTCTTTTGTTTTGGTCGTTCCGCTGGTTGATATCCTGGTTTCTCCGGTCTTTCAAAGTCACCTTCTGGTTTCAGGTTATCACCATGCTTGATTGGTGATCTTCGCTCAGCGGGGCCAACTGTAGATGGTGAAGGTCTTTCGAAATCACCTTCTGGGCGAAGATTATCTTCCGGTCTCTTTTGTTTTGGTCTTTCTGCAGGGACAAAACCTGGTTTATCAGGGACTTCAAAGACTCCTTCTGGACGAAGATTATCCTCTGGCCTCTTTTGTTTTGGTCGTTCCGCTGGTTGATATCCTGGTTTCTCCGGTCTTTCAAAGTCACCTTCTGGTTTCAGGTTATCACCATGCTTGATTGGTGATCTTCGCTCAGCGGGGCCAACTGTAGATGGTGAAGGTCTTTCGAAATCACCTTCTGGCCGTAAATTATCTTCAGGTCGTTTCTGTTTTGGTCTCTCTGCAGGAACAAACCCTGGTTTTTCTGGAACTTCAAAATCTCCTTCGGGACGTAAATTATCTTCAGGTCTTTTTTGCTTTGGCCTTTCAGCTGGTTGATACCTTTGCTTCTCTGGCCTTTCAAAATCGCCTTCAGGTTTAAGGTTATCCCCATGTTTAATTGGGGTTCTTCGTTCAGCTGGCCCAACTTTAGATGGTGATGGTCTTTCGAAATCACCTTCTGGGCGAAGATTATCTTCAGGTCTTTTTTGTTTTGGCCTTTCAGCTGGTTGATACCTTTGCTTCTCCGGCCTTTCAAAATCACCCTCTGGCTTAAGGTTATCCCCATGTTTAATTGGAGTTCTTCGTTCAGCGGGGCCAACGGTAGTTGGTGAAGGCCTCTCGAAGTCACCTTCTGGGCGTAAATTATCTTCAGGTCGTTTCTGTTTTGGTCTTTCTGCAGGAACAAACCCTGGTTTTTCGGGAACTTATCTTCAGGTCTCCTTTGTCTGGGTCTCTCGGCAGGGATGAAACCTGGTTTATCAGGGACCTCAAAATCTCCTTCTGGACGAAGATTATCCTCAGGCCTCTTTTGTTTTGGTCGTTCCGCTGGTTGATATCCTGATTTCTCCGGTCTTTCAAAGTCACCTTCTGGTTTCAGGTTATCACCATGCTTGATTGGTGATCTTCGCTCAGCTGGCCCAACTTTAGATGGTGATGGTCTTTCGAAATCACCTTCTGGGCGAAGATTATCTTCCGGTCTCTTCTGCTTCGGTCGCTCTGCAGGGACAAAACCTGGCTTCTCTGGGACCTCAAAATCTCCTTCTGGACGAAGATTATCTTCAGGTCTTTTTTGTTTTGGCCTCTCAGCTGGTTGATACCTTTGTTTTTCGGGCCTTTCAAAATCACCCTCAGGCTTAAGGTTATCCCCATGTTTAATTGGGGTTCTTCGTTCAGCGGGGCCAACGGTAGTTGGTGAAGGTCTTTCGAAATCACCTTCTGGGCGAAGATTATCTTCCGGCCTCTTCTGTTTTGGTCGCTCTGCAGGGACAAAACCTGGCTTCTCTGGGACCTCAAAATCTCCTTCTGGACGAAGATTATCTTCAGGTCTTTTTTGCTTTGGCCTTTCAGCTGGTTGATACCTTTGCTTCTCTGGCCTTTCAAAATCACCCTCAGGTTTAAGGTTATCCCCATGTTTAATTGGGGTTCTTCGTTCAGCTGGCCCAACTTTAGATGGTGATGGTCTTTCGAAATCACCTTCTGGGCGAAGATTATCTTCCGGTCTCTTCTGCTTTGGTCGCTCTGCAGGGACAAAACCTGGTTTATCTGGGACTTCAAAGACTCCTTCTGGGCGAAGATTATCTTCAGGTCTTTTTTGTTTTGGCCTTTCAGCTGGTTGATATCTTTGCTTCTCCGGCCTTTCAAAATCACCCTCCGGCTTAAGGTTATCCCCATGTTTAATTGGGGTTCTTCGTTCAGCGGGGCCAACTGTAGTTGGTGAAGGTCTTTCGAAGTCGCCTTCTGGCCGTAAATTATCTTCAGGTCGTTTCTGTTTTGGTCTTTCTGCAGGAACAAACCCTGGTTTTTCGGGAACTTCAAAGTCTCCTTCTGGGCGAAGATTATCTTCAGGTCTTTTTTGTTTTGGCCTTTCAGCTGGTTGATACCTTTGCTTCTCGGGTCTTTCAAACTCACCCTCAGGTTTAAGATTATCCCCATGTTTGATTGGGGTTCTTCGCTCAGCGGGACCAACTTTAGTGGGTGAAGGTCGTTCGAAATCACCTTCTGGTTTCAAATTATCTTCAGGTCTTTTTTGTTTAAGACGTTCAGCCGGCCTATATCCTGGTTTTTCAGGTACTTCAAAATCGCCTTCCGGGCGAAGATTATCTTCAGGTCTCTTCTGTTTTGGCCTTTCAGCTGGTTGATACCTAGGCTTCTCAGGCCTTTCAAAATCACCCTCCGGCTTAAGGTTATCCCCATGTTTAATTGGGGTTCTACGCTCACCTGGCCCAACTTTAGTTGGAGTTGGTCTTTCAAAATCGCCTTCCGGTCGTAAATTATCTTCAGGACGTTTTTGTATGGGCCTCTCTGCAGGAACGAATCCCGGTTTTTCAGGAACCTCAAAATCTCCCTCTGGACGAAGATTATCTTCAGGTTTCTTCTGTTTTGGTCTCTCTGCTGGACGATATTTTTGTTTTTCGGGTCTTTCAAAGTCCCCTTCAGGTTTTAGATTATCTCCATGTTTAATTGGAGTCCTACGTTCACAAGGACCAACTTTAGTTGGTGTTGGTCTTTCAAAATCACCTTCTGGACGAAAATTATCTTCAGGTCTTTTTTGTTTCGGTCTCTCAGCGGGGAGAAAACCAGGTTTCTCAGGAACATCAAAATCCCCTTCTGGACGAAGATTATCTCCAGGCCTAATTGGAGTCCGACGTTCACAAGGACCAAACTTAGGGGGCGAAGGTCGTTCAAAATCACCTTCGGGGCGAAGATTATCTCCAGGCCTAATCGGAGTACGACGTTCACAAGGACCAAATTCAGGCGGTGAAGGTACTTCAAAGTCACCTTCGGGACGAAGATTATCTTCGGGTTTCTTTTGTTTAGGCCTTTCAGCTGGTTGGAATTTCTGTTTTTCAGGTCGTTCAAAATCACCTTCGGGTTTAAGATTATCTCCATGTTTTATAGGAGATCTACGTTCACCTGGTTGTATCTTTTCTGGAGTCCTTTTTTCGAAATCTCCTTCTGGTTTGAGATTATCTCTTGGTTTAGTAGGTTTAGGTCTCTCTGTAAGTTTCGGCACATAATCTTCCTTAGATTTTGGGGTTCCTTCAAAAGGACCTTCTGGTTTTAAATTATCGCGGTGAATTACCACGGTTTGCCGAACGTCTTTGTTATCGAAAGTTTTGTAAACTTCTTGGGTAGTTGTTGAGGTTACGGTGTCATGAGTAGAATAAAACTTTTCAACGTCATCTTTCGTCCAAGTGCGGCGCCTCCGTTTTTCAATGGGTACATTTTTCTCAGTAAACTCTACAGTCGTTGAGGTATCAAAGGTCATGTCACCTTCAACGGTAAGATTATCTCTTCTTCGCTGGACTGTTGTTCTATCCACTACATTAGTGTAATCGACGAATTCAGTTTTATTCGTTGTGACGTCCGTGAAGTCACCTTCGATTTTTGTGTATGTATTGCGTCTGAATGGGCTCGGCCTTGGAACTAACTCACCCGTGAAGTCAACACGTGTTGTAGTTTCACCTAATAAAAAGATTTAACAAATTGTATCAAATCAGGATCTTAATATGTAAAAGCTAACTTACCGATAAATATTCCACCAACTGTAATGTTGTCTTCATGTCTGGTGATGTCAGCTCTTTCACCTCTTGTAACGGAGTAATCTTCAATTATCGTTCTTGTCCCAGTAAAATCACCTTCGGGTTTTAAGTTGTCTTGAGGCCTTTTTTGAATTGGTCGTTCAGCCGGTTGCCATTTTTCAGGTGTACGTCCTTCGAATGGACCTTCTGGCTTCAGATTATCTTGTGGTTTCTTAACTGGAGCTCTATCTCCTGGTTGCCAATCTTCAGGATGGCGTTTATAAAATTCTCCTTCAGGTTTGAGATTATCTTGTGGTTTTTTGGGAACTGGACGTTCAGCTGGTTGCCATTTTTCAGGAGTACGCCCCTCAAAAGGACCCTCCGGTTTTAGATTATCTTGTGGTTTCTTAACTGGAGCTCTATCTCCAGGTTGCCATTCTTCTGGGCGACGTTTATCGAATTCTCCTTCGGGTTTTAAATTATCTTGTGGTTTTATTGGAACTGGACGTTCGGCTGGTTGCCATTTTTCAGGAGTACGCCCCTCAAAAGGACCCTCAGGTTTCAAATTATCTTGCGGTTTCTTAACTGGAGCTCTATCTCCTGGTTGCCATTCTTCTGGGCGACGTTTATCGAATTCTCCTTCGGGTTTTAAATTATCTTGTGGTTTTTTAGGAACTGGACGTTCAGCTGGTTGCCATTTTTCAGGAGTACGCCCCTCAAAAGGACCCTCAGGTTTCAAATTATCTTGTGGTTTCTTAACTGGAGCTCTATCTCCAGGTTGCCACTCATCAGGACGGCGTTTATCAAAATCTCCTTCTGGTTTGAGATTATCTTGAGGTCTTTTAGGAACTGGACGTTCAGCTGGTTGCCATTTTTCAGGAGTACGCCCCTCAAAAGGACCCTCGGGTTTCAAATTATCTTGCGGTTTCTTAACTGGCGCTCTATCTCCGGGTTGCCATTCTTCTGGGCGACGTTTATCAAAATCACCCTCGGGTTTGAGATTATCTTGTGGCTTTATAGGAGCAGGGCGTTCAGCTGGTTGCCACTTTTCCGGAGTTCGACCTTCGAAAGGTCCTTCTGGCTTCAAATTATCTTGAGGTTTTTTGACTGGAGCTCTATCTCCTGGTCGCCATTCCTCGGGACGACGTTTATCGAAATCCCCTTCAGGTTTAAGATTATCCTGAGGTCTTTTAGGCACGGCGCGTTCAGCTGGTTGCCATTTTTCAGGTGTACGCCCTTCGAAAGGACCTTCAGGCTTTAAGTTATCCTCGGGTTTCTTAACCGGTGCTCTATCACCGGGTTTCCATTCCTCTGGTTGTCTTTTAACAAAATCTCCTTCAGGTTTTAAGTTATCCTTTGGAATTTTAATAGGAGCCCTTTCACCTTTCGTTGCGTTATATTCATCTTTGGGCTGACCGATAAACGGACCCTCGAGGTGGAGATGATCGTTGTACTCATCGGGATTATGAGGACAGGTGTGGCGACTGAAAACAAATCACCAAAATTTATTGTTTTTGAACTTAACCAATAAAATTAAAAACGTTTAATTGAAACGTGAAAGATGAAATGTTCGATATATCGATTGTACATTAAGAGTTCACATAAATAAGAAAGTAACTCGATTATTACAATGTCTATGGTTGTAGTAAAAGGGGAAAGTGAGATGGAGGAACTGAATCAATTGTGCGATGAAAGAAAGTTACCTGAACGAATTTGTAGGTCTCAGAACCAAATTCATAAAAATTTTATTATCTATAACCGTGGAAAAAAAAGATTTCAACTAAAACGTTATCTAGTAATACATTGTTTCTAGGAATGCGACAGAATGCGGTGTTGCCCAATCGACGCTTGGCGTCGCACTGGGCTGCTAGACGATGCCCTAGAAAACCCTAAGCACGATATTCCAAATTTAGTAGATCCTATTAACCGAAATGTGCTTTGTTTTCTTGTTGTACGGTTTCGAAAAAAAGTAAATAAAAACTTGAAACTTTTTACCAGTGTGAAGTTACCCATAAATTCCATCCATAAATATAACTTTTTTGCTAATTGTCCGATTTTAATGTGTGATACCTTTCTGGAAAGGGCTCGTCCTGTAGATCATATCATAGTAATGGCGGCGCGAAATTCTAACAATAACGGTAATTAAAAGAGTACGAACGTTATAAACAATCATACCCATAAATATAACTTTTTTGGTAATTGTCCGATTATAATGTGTGATACCTTTCTAGAAAGGGCTCGTCCTGTAGATCATATCATAGTAATGGCGGCGTAAAATTCTAACAAGAACGGTATTTAAACAATTAAAAAGGTTATAAACAATCATATCCAGAAATATAATTTTTTTGTTAATTGTCTGTAACTAACTAATAACTAATAAATATAACTAATAAATATAACTAATAAATATTACGCGTTTTGTTAATACGAGATGTGTAATAAACGCAAAGTCAAACAAAGTGCCAGAAGAGAGTTGAGCGAAACGCTTACGGAACAACAGAAAAGTTGTTAAGAAAGTGATGAATCCAAAAATTAAACATAATTTAACACAAAATTTGACAATCAGCCAGAAAAGTCATTCCTTTATAACCAACAACAACGTTACAATGCCACTTAAATTGCCGAAAGACTATGTAGTAGCCGTGTTCAATAAAGGAAAGTTATACTACAGCAGTTTTCAAACGCTTTTACAGCATAAAAATATCTCTGATATGTACTTAAATAATTTTGTAATAGAATAATATTTTGCAATATTATGTTCAAAGGCATTGGAAGTCAATGTTGCAGACTTAATCACTCATACAATAACATATATGGATCCATTAACATACAATTCACAGTATGAAAATACGACCTTTAACAACAGCCGGGAACATTTAAAACATATTTCGAAAATTAATTAATTGTGGAGTTCTTGTCTGTCATTTGATTGACTGTATATTATCAAATAAACCAGTTAAATCATTCAATGTAGATTCACATAGAAACATCATTATTGAAACTTTATTAAAAAAAACTCCAACTCATTAAAGAAAAATGTCTATTTCGCTGAAGAGGTTCATAATGAATTCAAATGCAAAAGTAGTTTAGACGAACTGTGTGAATTTTGTAGACACCGACCTTAAACTGTGATGGGGCCGTTACACATTCTTTTTTTGGCTTATTCGATAGTTTAGCAAAATTGAAGACTTCTATTAATTTTTTATTTTTCAAACTAGGTCTTACTTTTTCAAAAAAAAATCTTCTTGATCTTACGTGAAAACCTCGTAAACGACACCAAACCTGTTATAGAGGGGATTTTGAATTTTAATATTAATTATTGCAAAAATTAAACAATTTTAGACCAAGCGATATTCATATCTTGGGTAGCTTCAACGAACATGTCATGCAAGAACTGACCTGTAGCATTTTTGGGAAGTGCCTTGCAAAATAGTATTTCTTCCATTAATATTTCATTGGATTCAAAACGCACAAAAGCTACAAACTGCGCACAACCCGCAATATCCGTTGATTCATCAAATTGTATGGACACAAAAGTACTTTTCTTTATTTTTTCTATGACTTGATCATGAACGTCAGTCGCCATATTGCTTATCCTGCGTTGAATGGTATTGTCAGAGAGAGGTATACTTTTGAGCTTTTCGACCTCTTGTTTACCAAACATAATCTCTGCTATATCTAAAGCCGCTGGTAAAATCAAATTTTCGGCAATACTGTGAGGTTTTTCTGCTTTAGCCACACGAAAAGCTACTCGATAACTAGCGAGCAACGCTTTCTCATTTAGGTTGGACATTTGTCCTATAGCAGTTTTTTGTTGTTCAAGAGCTTTTCGTTTCCGCTCAAAAAATTCCACGGGTTTATTTTTTTTCATTAGGATGTTTTGTGTTTAGGTGGCGTACCAACTTCGATGGTTTCATGCTTTCTCTTGACAAAATTTCAAAGCAAATTACGCACTGCGGTTTATTCTCAATGACAGTAAACCCAAATTTCAAATAATTGTCGTCATAAAGACGTTTTTTCTTTATTCCACTACTCCCACTAGACGTTGATGGTCTTTTTAGGAATTTATCTTTTATAGGCCAGCGTTTCTACCGAGAATCATTGCAAAGCGTAACGAAACGTCTCGAAACTTGTGAACCTTTCGCGCGGGCGAATATCAGCGCCATCAGATGGCGCTGGGAGTTTCGACCCTAACAAATATAACGCAAACGCCTAAAATTTTTGTATGGATTAAATATTTTTAACATACATGAAAAAAAGGGTCGGGGCAGTAACTTAAGAAAGAACACCACACAACATGATTCACAGTAACTATTGACGAATGCAACGAATACGAATCCCAATGTGAACCATTCGTTGCAGGTCTCTGATAGGAACCTCAAATTGGCCAATTAAGAAATAACCAGCCAAACAAACAACAGACTCACATAAGCTACCTAAACAAAGAAACAAGAACAAGAAAAGTTGAATAAGAATCATCTTTTGCAACATAATGAATTTGAATTTAAGTTTTGATACCGAAGCGCCTTGTGAGAATTTCAATTATAACCACTGGTTAATCAATACCAAATTTTGATGGAAATATTGTAGTTTTATCACATCTCATAGAATTAGTTGAAAATTTTTTCAAACTTGATTTTGACGTTGTAGAAAGACAAGAAAGTAAAGAAAACAAAGGAAATTCATAAACGAATGATAGGCTTTAATTGCTTCCCGAGAACTCAGAACGTGGCAAGATTCAACGCTCGAGGACATAGTAACCGTCATCATAAATAATGATCCCCAAAACACGAAACATTTCCTATAAAAACTCTTTACGTTCGGTTTTTGAAACCACCCATGCAGCACTTCTTACTTCCAACAAGTGTTCTATCCTCACCAACGACATCGAAATGGCTCCTGCAAAACCCAAACCACAACTCACAAACACTAATATCTCCGCAAACTCTCCAACACCTATCAAAAGGGGAAGTTCCCTTCAAATCATATTTCACATTGATGGTTTAAAAAATCACATCCGATCTAAATCATTGGATCTGGAAGGTGAACTACACACTCAAATACTGAAAGTGTCAGGTCTGGGGCCATGCAATCACAAACTGTTCGATCCGCAGTAGGCTTCTCTTCTTGTTTTCATGCCTACGATACTTGAGGCAAATTAATATTTTTCTATTAACACCGGTCTATTGGATTCTTGGTGATAGCGTCTGGTGAGATCCATGACGCTTTATGTAAATTCCGATGTGGGAAGCCTGTCATATTCCATCCTATAGCAAATCTAATCACAAATTCGTCGTTTTAATTAGTCTCACTATGTAAGCTGCGTTTTCCTATAGTGTCCAATTATTCGACCTATTTTTAATATCATTTCTAGGGATCATATCGTACACCGCCATGATCTTCTGCTGGGTTATATACATTGTTTTTTTTTTTTAATAATAATATACCTTTATTTACGTTAAGAAAACAAAAATACAGAGACACAATAGAAAAATCAAAGATAGGCGTAAATAAAGTGCGAAAGAAAGAAAAAATTAACCCCGGCAATATGCCATAAAAAAAAAACCGTGTACATGGACAGAGACATAGCAACTGGCGCAAGCCGGAGTAGCCACCAAAACTGCAGAGCCAGTTTGTGTGTGGCGTTCAGTAGTTAATCTTCATCGATCCATTTATAAAACTTACTTAAAAAAAAACTTTACACAAAACTCTCTGTACCTAATAGAGTTGGTTTACTAACAGAACAAGAAAAAAGAAAACAAAAAAAAACAAGAAAACTAATTAGAAACAAAAAAAATATATATATTATAACCACTAATCTCAACTATTTAATAGTAGTATTTGTTAAACCATAATATGAAAAATGTCCTCAATTTGTGGTTCAGTGAGCGATCTAGCCCATATTTTCGCTGTCCGTTTCAAATTAATGTTTTGCTGATTCAAATTCTTTGATGTTAGAAATTCAATAAACTCATTGTATACCCTAGCCAAATAAAAAGTAAAGTGTTTTTGTGCTATTGATTTATTTGTTCGAATTGCAATGGCAAGCCCGTGAGATGCAGTTCGCGTACAATAACAATGGGCTGGGAATGTTAAATCCCTTTGAGTGTTAACTGCCTTAATCACGACTGTCGTGACATACAACTGTTTTACTGTCATCAAACCAGATTCTTCAAACAACAGTACAGAAGGATAGATACGAGGTTTATGTAACATTACTTTCATAACAAGTTTTTGGGCTGTACTTACTTTTTGTAGGTGATGACCAGCGGACGAACCCCACGCAAGAATACCATACTGTAAAATAGGTTGAATAATTCCATAGTAAAATGTTTTAAGTGTTTTCAAATCACATACATCTCGCAGTCTTTTGAAGATGTAAACACTACGGCGAATCTTATCAACGATTTTTCCCACGTGCGCATCCCACCGCAAGTGGTTGTCAATTAAAACTCCCAGGTAAGTAGTATTTAGTACAGGTTGTGATCTTTTTGCAAACACATATGCCATCAGTACAATCACTTTTATGTATCGGGAGGCTCATACAGTTATTATTAGTACTTTTTCTAATGGTAAATTTAATAAAGTTTGTCTTTCCTTCATTCAATGTAAGTTTACTATCCTCCAGCCAACTATTTATCATTTTTAGATCTGCCACCGTCTTATCCTCAACATCAGTCCAGGAAGAACCTTCTACAAATAGAACCGTGTCGTCTGCATACGAAATCGACTGCCCTTTCAGGGATAAAGAAAGCAAGTCATTTATGAACAATATAAACAGAAGCGGACCCAATACGGTTCCTTGCGGCACACCTACATTCACTGAAACCATTGTACTGTAATCCTGCCCAATCTTAACACATTGCATTCTATCCTGCAAGTAGGATTTCAATAACTTCCAGGGAATACCTCTAACCCCATAGATATCCAGCTTCTGTAACAATAAACAATGGTCGACAGTATCGAAGGCTTTAGCCAGATCCAAAAAAACAGCCAAACAAGGTTTGGACTTATCAAAGCTAGATTTAATTTTTGATGTAAGTTCAGCAATAGCATCATTCGTAGATCTACCTTCAACAAAACCAAACTGATTCTTTGACAGAATATTATTTTCATTAATAAAACAAGTCAGACGCACTTTTAAAAGTTTTTCTAAGATTTTACTAAAATTGTTTACCAAGGAAATAGGTCTGTAGTTTGACGTAGACTGTGAATCCCCACCCTTAAAAACCGGAACAACAACCGCCGTTTTCAATGCTTTAGGAAAATACCCCTGTTCGAAACATCTATTGAATAAAATAGATAAAGCTGGTGCAATTAAGTGAATAATTTTCTTAATTAGTTTTATAGAGATATTGTCACAACCAGTGGAATTTTTATTTTTCATCTTATTTACAATACTTATGATTTCATGTTGATCAGTTGGGGCGAGGAATAATGAGTTGACGTTACTCTTTATGAATTTAAACGATTGATTAGACACTTTACCACTTTTCTGATTTAATAATTTTCGCGCTACATCTTTAAAATATAGATTAAATTCATTCGCGATATCTAGTTCTTTAGTTAACTGTTCATTGGTGGCGGTCTTTACAGAGGATATACTCCCTAGAGGCTTCTCCCTGCCTGTCAATTCTCGCCCAATCCTCCACAAAGCTTTTGCGTTATCTTTTTGTGTGTAGATCTTTTGTTTGTAATAGCTTTGCTTTAGAGTGGTGATTAACTTTTTAATTGTCACACAATATTGTTTGTATGTATTGTTTAATTGGACATTACTGGGATCCAATTTTGATTGCTTATAAAGAATATCTCTTGTGTTAATAGACCTTATCACACCGTTCGTTATCCAAGGAGTACGCTTCCTATTCTTAGATGTAATTTCCCTCTTGACAGTTGCCTTATCCCGCTGATCTTTGATTACGTCACTGATAAATTGTAAGGCATCATCAATGTCAGAAGGGACACTCGCGAAATTTTGTGCAGCAATGTTGTTAATGAATTTATTATAATCAATTATCATTTGGTAGCATTTGTTCTTATTGTGGATAGTGTTGTTTTTAACATTGGGAAAGTTTATCTGCAAGAAAACAGGACTATGGTCGGTAATTTTTGAATGAGATACAATCGACAACAAATTCTTGTGTGGTAGAGAAGTTTTTACTAAAATGTGGTCTAAACAACTTTTACTGTTGTTGACCACTCGAGTATAATCATTGATATGGGATTCAAAACCCGCAGAAGCTATCACGTCAAGATAAAGCGTGGGAATTACATGTGAACGCTTATACTTATGAATATCGATATTAATGTCTCCCATTATAAATTCCTGCTCTCTAGAACAATAAGCCTTAATGTAGGAATCTAAATTATTAATAAAATTGTATGGATTAAATGAGTGTGGTCTGTAAATACCCGTGATACCCAATCTCATTTTCCCTAAATTAATTTCAATTCGAAGAAATTTGAAATTCCCTATATCAACACAATGTGAT